CAGAGGTTCGGTCATTTTTAAAACGTGAATGCCACACAAAAGTTTGCGGACTCCCCAAATGTTTGCTTTAGCATTTCATAGGTTTCCGTAGCCGTTTTGGCGAGTCTTTGGCAAAATTTGATTTGTTCATGAAAATCCGCCATTCCGAAATCGCAGGAGGGTCGGTGTAATGCACTACCAAAACGCCCGTTAACTAAGAAACAAATGCTAATTCGATGATGCCGGCTGGCACACTGATTCACTATGAATGTAGGCCGCACCCCCTAGCGGCAGAAGCTCGTACTACATCCGGTTCGCCCTCTATTGACAGTCTTGAAACTTTCCGATCGCACCTCGTATAAAACAGTGACTATTTATTGACACACTGTACTGAAACTTCCAATAACCAGAATGCATTACACTAGAAATACATTTTTGATACAGGCAGCAAATTCTGATTACCATTCCTACAATAAATTTTGCATTTTTACTCCAAATGATATGTGAACAGTCTGAAAATCTCTTGGAAGAAAGGAGGGGGGGGCTAAATACCTATACTAAGTACAAAACTCGCTTCTCACAAAGTTTATTTTAAAGTATTGTAATATATCCCATTCACAACTGAAAGCACAAACATCCTACAGCACATCACTGTCGCATAATACATAAATAAGTAAACTGTACACCAACTTTCAAACCTACCATGAAGATAGATCAATTATATTTTAGTTGGCCACATATTCATTATTACTAATTACTCTATCACTAATCATTGAGCTTCCATGACAATATCAAAGTTGCACTGCTAATATTAATACATGTAGGAAATTTGGCTGGTTACATCCAATTCTAAATGTAACATGACCTATGAAGTCGACAACATGATACAGGAAGTACAATATCAACATCAGCATCATTAAATTTCAGCACTGTTCATATCTTGTGTTCTGATGAACTCATCTATACTTCTAAATATATTTTATATGAATGGAAACAAGAGTATTCATTCATAGTCCTCTAAACTATTTTGGAACATTAAGCTATTAGGTATATTTCAAAAAGTTCTACACATTATTAACTTGAAAGTTGATGAAAACTTGTATAACATAAACTGCAATTTATGTACAATATTTACCTTAGGTTTCACTTGAAAAGAAAACCATGTTCTTAAGAATCTGCCGATACAGTGCTACATTTAACTAAAAACACACTAATGCCAACTCTTCTTGAACTTTGCTCTACAATGCTGCTATCATACCTCTTCTAATTACCCTTACTCCTTCAAAATGTAAACTTTACTTGTGACACTTTAAATATTTTAAAGAACTTACTAATAACAACTAAAACCACAACACAATTTTTTAAGCTCCAGAATACTCTTGAAAGACACCTCATTCCTTTCAAATTAACAAGTACACACATATATACACTTGTATCAGGAAAAAAAGTTGCCAAAATACTTCCACTTTGTTACAGGACTAAACCCTGCAACACTTTCACACAAAGAGAGAATTGTAGAACACATGCAATTTCCAAATTGCCCTGTCTCACTGGTTAAAGAAGAACTTGTCCATATAACTACTGAAACACCACTTTTGTGTTTTCTGAGTTATTAAAGAGTAGTGTGGATATTTAAAAGAACTAAAAATGCAACACATGTTCCATATCCCTAACTTTAAATCAAAGACATCAATCAATCAATCTGAGTGATGTTTGTAGTGTTATTAACAGATTATAATACCTCCCACATACCCACTCCTCAAACATATATTTACCTTTTAACTGCCATAATTTTCAAGCACTACTAAGTCTTCCAAGACATATTCAGTGTGCATGCAAATGTTCACAAATATATAATTTAAGTTTTATCTTAGAATCTTTGGTGGGATTCCCTCAATTACATACTATTTCTTTAACTTTATGTTTGAATATTGCTGTACAATTCAAACCAAAAAGCATGAAAGCATACTGATTTCATGTAATGATGAAAACTCAATAACATTTAGGGGCACTTTAGGTAAGGTAAAGTCCTTGTGCCATCCCATGAAAGCATGTAGATGAGTGGTCCAACTTCATGTTCTGGGTGCTTTATACCCAGTACCTAACAGATAGACTGAGAGCCCCACAGAAAATCTGGATCTGATTTTTTTTTTTGGGGGGGGGGGGGGGAAAGGAGAGATCCCTGCTTATGGGGAGATTAAAACACTGGTTATCCCATCCCACTGCCAGTTACTATGCCGAGAAAACTATTCCAGCTCCGTCTTACCTTGGCAATAAGTTTAATCAGGATTGACACTGAAAAGTTGGGGGTTGTTTGATTATACAACCATAAATTAAATTGAAAGGAAGCCTCAAACAGAATTTCTTCATTACCACCCAGGTGTCACTACAGGTGTTGTGGCAAGAGGGAATGTAGTCAACATTCAGCAGCATAGTTCTCTTATTTTCAACACTCATTACCATAATTTTACAAAATTATATTAAAGCCATATAATAAAACGTTTCAATTGAATTGAATAATAGAACATGCTTAACATATGACTAAAAATTAAGAGTGCTCTTGATGAAGGGATGGATTATTCCAATCCGGTAACTGTCTATAGGCCTATACAAAAACGATAGGTTTGGTATAATTAATGTGTTACCTGCTTCTTATTGTAAGATAATGAACTTCACATTTTAAAACTAATTCACTTACACTAACAATTCTCATAAATTCTGACATAAAAGACAAAAATTATACTTTCAGTACACACAGTTACTAATAGAGTCCTATAAAAAAAAAAGGCTGCCTTTCAACATGAAGTTTAATTGATTTTTCTCTTACCCAAAGTGATACTAATGAAAGACAAAGAGAGAGACCACTTGAGTACTGATGAAATTTAATCTAAAGTCATTTTTTAAATGTTGTGGGGGATTTTCCATAAATGAAAATGTCACTGCCAAACAACAATAGTCCAAGTTTTAAAAACTAATCAAATTAAATATATATAATTACAGACCCATCCACCTGTATAAAAAGGAAAGTGACACACGATGATATATTGTCTATTCCTATACTGCTCTACCAACTTAACTGGACTTAAGAAACTAAATTACAACCCCTTACATTAACACAAGTTACGACATTTTGACCATACTAGTTTCTTCTGCTTGGAAAGAGCGAAGATAGCCGTTGTAATATAGGAGCACATATGGATAGCATTCACTTACTCCAACAATAATGTCATGACAAACAAAAAGGGTCTAGATCTAAATATGGACTCCAAAATAAAGAGAGGAGCCATATTTTTACAGCTACAGCCAATGTTGAAAAAGCTATTCAAGAAACATCTTTGAAATTTAACTCTCAAAATACATGGAGAGCACCAACATTTGCTGCTTTCTTAACCATGCTAATGTATTTGAAAAACCTATTCTAGGAATCCAACAAGATGGTGGGTGGTTGTAGATTGCACAGTAGCAGGGAATGTTAAATGTTGGCAGTTACACAAATCAATATCAACCAATCTTTAATATTTTGTGAAAATAGAATATATCAGATAGCTGTTTCATTTTAGTAGCACTTTACTGTTTTCAATAATGGAAGACCAAGGACCCAAGCAAGAGGCATGTTCATGGTTGTACCAAGATGCAAGCAGACAGCACATTACAATGCAAGTGGTCAAGTTCATGCCACAAAGGGACCACCTAGCTCAATCTTCTCTCACCCACAATCATGTCCGAATCCTAATACAGATCAATTTACAAACCCCAAGTAAGTCAGTTTTAAAATATGTTTTAAAAGGGAAACTAACTCTTATATCTTGTATCTAGCAACTGAATGAGTATGAATTCTGAACTCTAAGTTACTTCTAATTATCTTGTGTCATCACAAGTTATGCAACTTATAACCTGAATAAATACAATAAAATTCATAATATGATATCAGTCTGGAGTATAATATCAGATTTAAAAACAAAGACAAATTTTATTCTCTGCCATGACCAACATATTACAGCAGGAAAATTAAATGCCCTCAGTTGCACTCAACATCAAGTACAGTTTATAATGGGCATTTAAATGAACTATTCTGTATCCAGATACATCAAATTCAAATGATATGGAAAAGAGCTAACTAAATAATATGCAAAGTTCTACTGCAATATCAGCAAAATAACATACTTACAGACATCCACGAAAATTATTTAGGATATTTAAACAAACAGCTAAAAGACTGCAAAGAAAGACTTCTTCTGTGAACTGGAACTGATGGAATCTCTGAACAATTCAAAATAACTAAGTATAACCAAGAACAAAAAAAACATGATTACACTGAAGAAAACTTCACACAGAAGAATAAGAACAAACCCAGTGCACAAAATATTACAAGATTTTTCACCAGACAATGCAATGACATTTAACCAAAGGCTTTGCAACAACATAGTTTTAGTGCATACAAAATACTGTAATGTATGTACAATTGAAAATGAATGAAGTTGATAATAGGACATCTTTAAAATGTATTGAAAGAACTGAATATTGACCAAACAGTGTAAAAGCAAACCACTATTACATAAAAATCTGGTGACATCTTGAGATATCACATATCTCAACCAGCTGCTCTGTTGATCATTCACATATCGGTCTCATGATGTGAATGTGATGGTTTCAGGGCCTTGTGCTTCCTTTCAACATCAGGCTCATGATCACGCTTCTTTGCTCTTTCTTGTGGCAGCGAAACACTGCTGCTACCAGAACTACAACACATCATGACACCCACAATGTTAGGTCATTAACTGAAAGAAAAATACTTTGGCAATGGCAAATGTTGCTTGTCTGCACTAAGAACGAATTGCCACATTGCATTAAAATATCATATTTTATGAAGAAGAAAAAGGTAATGAAAGTGATATAGAAGAATCCAGACACAGCCATAATAAAAAAGTTTGAAAGACAGGATCTAACGCAGTCAGCAAGTGTACTTAGTTCTCAAAATCTCACAAAGTGCAATAATTATTAGCATAACACATAATATGAACCACACTGAGGCATACAATTTAGTGTAAAAAACATTCTGATTTCAAATATTTAGGTAAAGTTGTCCCTGATGCACAACTAAGCAACATGACATGCAAATGTATGGGGGGGGGGAGGTTAAGGTAAAAAAAAAAAACAAGACATGGAAATGAGAGAGAAGATACTGGACTGTCCTAACAATTTCAGTAATGCAGCAGAAAATCTATCAAAGTACAGTTAAAACTATTTAAGAATTAAATATTTTCATTTTATTACTACTCTCAATGTACTTGCATTTATTCACAAATGTGTGCTTCTCTAAGCTCTAAATATTACAAAAGAAACATGCTGCTGTCTTATGATGGCCTTCACATTTATTCACAAACTTAACCACCACATGCAAGAAAATAATGAACCATGTGACCACTCTTTAAAAGAAAATAACATGATATAGTGAGAATGGCCAAGCACTGACAAAAGCAAATAGCAACTGATATTTTGATGCATGACTGCTAGGTCAATACTTATGGGGTTGGGGGGGACATTACCAAAAGCAACATGCATATTAAAGTATGGATTTGTGTGTGTATGGGATATTATGTAAATTTATAAAAATAGCATATCTGAAAGGAAAACAGCTGAGTTAAGTGGTTTAAAAAATGAATAGCTGTGAAACAGATAATTTGTATCAGCTTGCACAAACCACTTAATATACAGCTAAGCTTATTTCAACCAAAGACATTTTTAAGTTACTGGTAATTTCTTCCTTTCTTTTGTCGTGGTTGAGTGGGAGCATCAAACTCAAAGTTTTATGAATTTGTCCCAAAACAAAATTGTTCTATTAGAATTCTTTACAATACTGTGCAAGTTATTAAGACAAGACTGAAATGAGAACTGGCTCATTCATAAGTCAAACCACTGTGAAACTGCACTTACTCACACTGACAAAAGTTAACATTAATTGCAGTAACATGACATGAAGATTGCTAACTGCTTGAACTGACAAGTTACTACTAGCAAAAAATACACAAATGCAAGAAAATGTACGTGTACAGATCAGTTAACAAGGAGATGGTTAAGCAATACCAACCAGTTTAACAAAGACATAAGTTCAATAATGGAAAAATTTTAAATGTATTATCAAGAGGGGTATGGAAAACAATTTTATCTACTATTTGCTGCCTATGCATAAAAATTAACTATTTAAAATGCAACATAATAAATAATTTCTTCTGAGGGAAAAGATCTGAAAGATTGTTTCTGAATTAGCAAATCAAATGAAAAATGTACTATGCAAATCTATTCTGGTTACTGTGAAGCAATCTCTTGCACAACACAGATGAATATACATATCATAAATATCAGTTAAATGAGATGAGAGTTACCAACTAACAGTAATACCAGATTACTTACATCCAAGTGCCCTCCTAGTCTCTCGAGCCCATTACCAAACCTTTATCAATATTTCCTTCCGTACCTGTAAAAGTGACAAACACAAAACACATTCCCACCTTTTGTCCAGCAAGCACATTAGCTAAGAAAACAGATTAAGAGAACAGGAGTCAACTTTTAAAAATAAATACACCAATATAAATAAGAGAGCAGAATTAGAAGAAAATAAGATAGAAGACATCAGGCAATGGCAATGCTTTCCACTGACTCAAACATTGCAGCGAACAAGTCAAAACCTAGTCAGAATTCTGTAATTGGTCTCGCAGAATATAATAGCTTTATCTCATCATAAATGAAAAAATGTGACTGTTACTCTTGAATGTCTGTAGGATCAGGAAAGTACAAAGTATGGTAAGAAAAGAAAGGAGAAATGTTTATTATATATTTTATCCTCCTCTAGCACTGTTTCCATTTTATACATATTGTATATGTACCTGTCAAAAGTAAGCAGAACTATAATTTTCTCTTGACAATAACATTTATAAACATGAATGTCTTACATATCTTTAGCACTTGTATTTTAGCATACTTCTGCTCTGATCCTAGCAGATTAGCTAGTAGAAGTATCCTATAATTTACTACATTGGAAACAGTATCCACTTGAAAAAGTCCATTTTATTAAATCTGACCCCAAGGACAGTAGATCATCATTATGCTGCAACAGTTGGAGGAAAGTTACAACTAGTGTGTTACAAGTGAAAACATTGATCTATTTATACTAGGGAGAGGGTCTTGATCATATCCGCAGAATGAGGGTACACTGTAAAAGGAAGCCGAATTTTGGCAATTCATAAGCCAGTCTTAACAGAGCAACTAGCTATAATGCTGGATATTTTTTAACTTTTAGTTCACAAAATTTCAAGACTTCATATCTTTGCTTCACCTTGCACTAGTGACCTTTCCTACTTCAATGCAAGTCAAGTCAGTAACTTTTCATCTCTTTCTTAGTCTTCCAAACAGAACATCACCTCTTCTGCAGTCTGATTTATTATCAAACTATTTATAATCATAAAAATGATTTAATTACATTACACCACTTTTCACCTTAAATTAAGCATTGTTAAAACGATTCTTTGCGGCAGAAGTATCTGTAGATAAGTCAAACTTTTTTCTTCAAAAATTACTTTATAGGAAATACAAGATAATGCGGATGTGTTGTAAATAAATGAGAAACAAATGTCCAGTATAACATTTTAACCCCCAAACTCAGTTAAGAAGATTACCTTCAGACATACCCACTACTACTAGTATAACTGACACATCAGCTTCATAAAGTTTAAAGCAATTACTGTTAACACTGGAAAGAAAACTTTAGATTTGGAGGTGAACCAAATACTTTAGAATTGCTGGGAGGAAGCAGTTGCCTGGAAGGGGCCACACCCCTAACAGTTAACCAAAGGGACAAAGATTGTCTTCAAAACTCCTTTCTATGTTCTTCCGGTATGAATTACTTCCAGATGTTTAAAGTGAAGCTTTTGCGGTGACTGAAGTTGATGAAAGACTCTCAGGCACAGGATATGGTTTATTCACCAGCCACCTGACGCAGCTTGTAGCCCTAGATGTGTTGCTGACTTACACTTACCTGCAGAAGGTGGAATGAACTTTTGTTAGGCCCTAAACCATCATTTCTTGCATACCAAAAGTGTTGTTATGATTGTTCCTCAACCAATCACATTTCTTTTTAATATTCTAGAGCGATTTGGGGCTTAAACCTTATGGACATAAGAAATGTACCAGCAGCAGAGGTGGGGTGGTGGAACTGATGAGTGGTATGAGTCGAAGTTGTTATTGTGAACACTGCAAAATTGATCCATCCTTTCCAAAAAAAAAAATAACCACCTAGATTGCTGCTTTCCCCCCCAAATGCTGTTCAGCCCATGACATGCCCAAAGGAAGGATGGTTATACTAGAGATGGGAGCAGACTGTTAACGCGCTCAGTGGGAAAATGTAAATCATCTTTCTCACTAATGCCATTATACTCCCCCCTTCCCCGAAAATGATTCACAATAAAAATGACAATTGAAACAAATTCTAGAAAACAAGAGTGCTCTTGGGCATGTCACTCATTTATTTAAATTTAACAAACATGTTTATACCAAAATGACATATATTGATAGAATAGAAAGCTTCAAAGAAAAAGTTCTTATTAAACAATTGATGGAAATTATATGCATAATCAATCATGAATTAATATACTGTTAGTTCCCACCACCAATTACTACTATTACCAAACCTAATTTGTTAATTACTACTACTTTGTCAATATAAGCTAAAAATCTAAAAACTACTCTAGATGTCTGTACACTACAGGACATTTAATTTACATATGTTACATTCTATACATTGCAAAACTCAGACTAAAACATGTTTTAAGATCCTATGACTCATAATATTAATTCAATATGTGAAGTAAAAATTTACAACACAGATGATCACTGTCATAAACTTGTGCTACGGCACAATTTTTTAACATTATGAACATTCTTCCACATTGGCTGCAACACAATGTGTCAAACAACTTAAACATTTTCTTGAACTTTACATATAACAATCCAAATGCTTCCATTACTTTGGCTGAAGCAAAACATCTAAAACGTGCAAAATTTAGCAATATATGTCCAAGATTTACGATTTTTAGTGCCCACAAAAGTATTCAAATTAGGTTTCAACATTTAAATGCCTTCTGACATAAACGGCATGCCTAGTGAATCTGTTAACTTTCATATGCTCTTTTGACGTTATTGTTCATAAATACTGGTTTCAAAAAGCTATCATCTACTTTATCTGATGAACAATTCGAAGAAAGGTCAGTGGCAAGTGATTCTGAAGGAAGTTTGATAGATTCTGACTGATAGTAACAACGAAATTGACATTGCTTTTTTTGCACTGCTGTTGTAAATGATGATAGTGCCCATCAGGAATTCATCTGGGAAGGAGTCAAACAAAATTTCATGAGCAGTTTTGGTCTCCCAAGGTGCAGTGGAACAGGAGTGAAATTATGGACACCAAACTTCTTTATAGTATTTATAAAAATCCCATAGCTGTCGAACTGTTTAGTTCTGGCAGAAGTCAAATGAGATGCAAGACCACAGAAAATGCATGCTGTCTCATGCATGGGGGAAGGAAGGGGGTTCGGTGTGTGTGTGTGTGAAATGTCACGTTGGCTCTGCACTGAACATTTTGAGAATTACTGCACCTAACTCAAAATTCCCAGTGTTGAAGTCTGTGGGATCATTAAAACAATTCTGTATAGTATTCTGAATGTAATATTAAAATTTAGAAATAATTTCTAATAACTGAACTTGGACTATCAATCATTTACAAAAACTGTTACTCTCTTCTGGTTTATAAATTTCCCAGCGGAGTCATATTTAAATATATCACACTGATGAGCTTAGCACAGGGCACGTTTCAAATGGCAGTCTGAATTATCTACATGCCTTCTAAAATTACACTTACGAAGACAGCGAGTGGCATACAGCAAATGCCTACTGCCTGAACTTACATGATAAGAATTACAGTGAAACCTCTATCCATCGTTCCCGGAACTATCGTTTTCCCGGATGCATCGTCCGTTTTGTTCGGTCCCGAATACATCCCATATAAAATAATGTTACATTTTCCCGCTTCTATCGTTCCTCGAACTATCGTTTTATCGCATCGATCGTTCAAAAATCGTAGTCCCGGCCCACAATTTTCCCGCAATGATCGTTTCTGAGAAATTGTAACGAAATTTACGTGATATTTTTAGAATTTAATTCCGAAAGACGCACAATGTTTTTGGAATAAACAGTAGCGGTAACCTGTTATGTCGCCCAACCAGCACA